TACTACTACCATTTCCTACAATGCAATCATAAAAACACACAGGTTTTTTTTTTTTTCACCAGTACCCTTACTACATGGAGGAAAACATTATATATATCAGTGGTTATTTCACAGAAACGTGACCAAAAAATACTAAAGAATAACAGATTTGTAAGTATTTTTTACTCTGTTTCTCCCTTGCTTTATTCAAAATGAACACATCCTTTGTTAAAATCTTAATGCCAACCTGGGACCTGCTACAGACACCACCGCCTGCAGAGTGTGTTTGTAAAATCAATGAACATATCACCACCAGGGTAGTTATTTTTACTAAAAAGAATCCTGCTGAAGGCAGCGCTCTGGTGATTATGAAGTTTTTAATGACCAGGATTTGTGTCTTTAGGCAAAGATGTCCATGCATCTGTCTCTGGCTGCAATCTCACCTCACTAAACATAATTTCCGGCAGTGTGCCCGCAATCAATTTAGCCAATTAAATTTTAAGGCAAACAGATGGCTAAAATAAATTCTGTTGTTCTGGGTTTTATACCTTGTCATTTAGTAGCTCTACGACTGCCTAGTAATATGTTCTAATAGTGTAGTTGTTTTTCTTTCTTTCTTGGAATAGAGGTGTGATATCTGGGACAGACTGTAAAGACCTCTGTGACTTTTAGCCGTGCTAGAGGCTATATGAAAGGCAATGTTGGTTGTTTGTTCTACCCCTTTGGTTCAGACTAAAATATCTCAAAAACTATTTAATGGATTGCCATATCTTTGGTGCCCAGGAGATGAATCCTAATTACTCTTATGACATTTTCCATAGTTCCACCATGAGGTTGACATTTGTGGTTTTGAGTCTCAACAAGCATTGCCATGAAATGCGGTACAAATATCCAGGATGAATTATAATAATTTTGAACCTTTTCATTTAGAACCATCATCAAGTCAAATAATCTGATAATCCAATGCTTTGGTTTACGACCAAATACCTGCAAAACTAATGACATTCCCATCAGCCTCAGTTGTACTTTGTGTTTAGTGCTAATTAGCAGATGTTAGCATGCTAACACAAACAACTGAGAACATGGTATAACATAGTACAGCCTCCAAGAGCCACTAGCAAGGCTGTAGATTGGTCCTCCCCTTTTAGGCTACATGTAAAAACATCTTGGTCTGAATGTGATCAGATACACCTGACTGCATCTGGAGGTAATCTTGTTGCATTGTGTGCGGATCTTACCTAGGTTTAATCTATACATCATGCTAGCTAAAATATAACTTGTTAAAATCTAGAGTGACCAAGCAAGAAGGCTGAAAGATGTTCAGCAGAACTGCATGAAAATGAAAACAGTACAGGTGGAAATGATGTTATAAAATAACAGTATGTGACGTTATGTGTTGCAGTCATCTGTGTTTTTTTAAATATATTTTTGGTGCTTTAAGGACTCAGCCTTGGTACAGGCCAACTCTACCAGGTGAGCTACCAGGACGCCCCAGCTGATCTGCTGTTAACAAGGCATATAATTGACCTAGTCACAGAGAAGCATAATGGTACTGCAACACATGGGGACAAACTGACACAATATTTTTTATACAAAGACAGAAATAACTTATTACATTTGCCAAATTTACAGGAGGGAACAAATAATTCAGAATTTGTTGTAGACAGCGTTTTACAAAGTTTTATAAAGTTTCTCCTAACTCAACAACTCACAAAAAAAAATTTTTTTAGGGAGTCTGGGGCTGATTTGCTGCCAATTACTCGCACAGGTTTTGCTCTGGAGATATAGATCCGATCTCAATCAGAATAATGAGAAGGTGTCAAAACTGTACAGCTCTTCATTCATTTATTGTAAATACGGTTTCTCTTTATTGTCCTATTTCATCTTTATGACATACGTTATATTTTTGTGTTTTTATTAATATGCACCAATATAGCAAGGCTAATTATTTGTATGGTTTTCACATACAAGGAATTAGCCATAGTATTCTGATCCTGGTGATCATTACAGCCCTGACTTCATGTGGACAGTAAACTAGACCTCCCTCAAATACAGTGAATCACTACCATCTAAAATGTATGATGAATTATGTCACAAAAGATCTCTCAACCAAAAGTTAATACGGACTGTAGAAAAGAGGACACACTGCTTAAACATGCTGGTGGAAATTCTTTTTGCTAGCATAGAGCACAACCCTTGTTATAATTCAGCTGGGGTCACTGATCCCCAGTGCTTGCTGTGTTTTTAATCACTACATACATACCAACATGTCTCAGCATAACTAAACACACATTTGCAGGCTGGTTGCTCCTCTGCTAACTAGATTAAGGCATTTTTGGACAGTTTGAATGAGGTTGGATGACATTATTTGGTGAGGTAAAAGCCTGATTACATACAATAATAAAGTGAGCCAGCTGGAGGGCTGTGTGTGCTCCAGATTCAAGAGCTTGTGAAAAGAGCGTGCCTGGAGGTATTTGTCCCTTTCCAAAATATCAGGAGGTGAATTACAAGGCTGGTTGAAGAGGAATCCTGCTCATCTTAACTAACCCAAGCAAAAGGAGTGGGAGGGGAGGTTAAGTTTAATCAATAAATCTCATATCCTACTTCTTCTGTGCTGGGAACAGTCAGAGAGGCACAACAAGCAGATCTAATGATGTATCCTGGGATTTCCACCAACTTCATTCTCAGTCAGTAGACTCCCGCATTCATTTAGATATTGACAGATGTAATACCCTATTGAGCCCGATAGATGTAATTGATGAAGTACATGAAGCAATTTCCATCAAAGTATTAACATGCATAACTGACAGGCAGCGCAAGGAATAGTTATGAATCTTAGACCATATGGCCATGATTGCGCTTTAATA